CCGGGAGGCATATTACCTTTTACTATATAGGATAGAGGCCTGGTACACGGGTGGGGGCTGGCTGGTTTGCCCTGAAGGGTGTCCTGAATCAGGGTGGGGGTCCCCACTGGGGTGCCTGGCCAGTTTGGGTGAGGGACTGAGGGCTGTTTTCCGGAAGCGGGTGACTGAGGCTCCCAACCGCTCCTTTTTTTCTTTTTCTTTTTTTTTATTCTGGGCCAGCTTTAGCTCTGAGGCCTCGCTGCTGAAAACATCGATACAATGTTGCGGTCGGGCTGGCTGAAGCCTGGCTGAATGAAAGCCCGCTTCTGGGGTTTTGTTTAGCTTCTATATTTGCAACATAGTACATAGTTGCTTAGAGTTGCAGCTGAGAGGCCGGCAGCGGCAGGCGGGGAACGTTGGAGTCCGCCGTCACTGGAGCAAGCAAGCCTCCCTGCTTGCTTCAGTGCATGGCTGCCAGCCGCCATCTTGGCTGACAGTTAATTTGCATAAGGATATGCTGATTAGCCAATGGGAAGGGTAGCGGTCGTACGCTAATTACCATGTTTCTCTTTTATTAGTGTAGATATGCATAACCCATGGACATAGACAATAGTGTGGTGAAGGCCTGGGGGGAAGGGGGGTGGTGCGACTTTCAATAATAAAGATAAATTTTTAAAAAGTAGAGGTAAATGGTGTCTCAGAATTCACACAAGAAGTAATTTGTTTATGCAAAACAGTCATGGAAAATTTCAACAAAAGAGTGCATATGTGCCAGCAAAGCCATGGAGGCCATTTACCCGATATGCTATTCCATACATAACCCTATACTGTATACTTTATGAATCAATAAAAAATTTACAATTTTTAATTATAAACCTGTGTTTTCTATCAAAATTACTTCTTGCGTGAATTTTGGGACACCCTTTATAATTTCTGTTAGTATACATTTACATTTTGGGTAGCCAACTCTAAAGTATTTTTTGTCTTTTTATTGAATTTATTTGGGTGACATTGATTAACAAAAACAAATTTCAGGTATACAGTTCTACAACACATTGTCTATGCACTGTATTGTTTGTTCATCACCCTAAGTCAAGTCTCCATTGATCACCATATATACCCCTTATACCCTCCACCTCACCCCACTTCCCTCCCCCTGGCAATCACCATGCTGTTGTCCTGTCCATGAGTTCTTTCTCTTTCCCCCTTTCCCCCTCAATTCCTTCTCTCCTAGCATCTCTCACAGCTGTCAGTCTACTGACTTTGAGTCTGTCTCTATTTTGCTTGTTAGTTCATTTTGTTCATTAGATTCCACATAAGTGAAATCATATGGTCTTTGTCTTTCTCTTATTGGCTTATTTCACTTAGTATAATATTCTCCAGGTCCATCTATGCTGTCAAAAAGGGTAAAATTTCCTTATTTTTTTATGGCCGAGTAGTATTCCATTGTGTAAATGTACCACAGCTTTTTTATCCATTCATGTATTGATGGGCACTTGGATTGCTTCCAAATCTTGGCTATTGTAAGTAACTCTGCAATGAATGTAGGGTTGCATATATTCTTTCAAGTCAGTGTTTTGGGTTTCTTTGGATATATATTTCCAGAAGTGGAATCACTGGGCCATAAAGCAGTTCCATATTTAATTTTTTGATGTAACCCCATACCATTTTCCACAGTTGCTACACCAATCTGCATTCCTACCAATAGTGCATGAGGTTTCCATTTTCTGCACATTCTCCCCAACACTTGTTTGTTGATTACTGATAATAACCATTCTGCTAGGTGTGAGGTGATATCTCATTGCAGTTTTAATTTGTATTTCTCTGATGATTAGTGAATGACATTTAACATTTTTTATATGTCTATTGGCCTTCTGTATGTCCTCTTTGGAACTTTGCCCATTTTTAAATTGGATTGTTTTTTGGTGTTGAGTTTTGTAAGTTCTTTAAAAATTTTGGATATTAACCCCTTTTGAGGTCTGTTGGGTCTAGTTAGGTCCTATATCATGTCTATTCTGATCCTTTGCCCATTTTTTAATTGGATTGTTTGTTTTTTGGTGTTGAGTTTTGTAAGTTCTCTATAAATTTTGGGTATTAACCCCTTATCAGATGTATCAGCAAATATGTTCTCCCATTGAGTGGTTGTCTTTTCATTTTGTTGAAGGTGTCCTTTGCTGAGCTGATGTAGTCCATTTGTTTATTTTTTTGTTTTGTTTCCCTTGCCTGAGGAGATATAGTAGAAAAAAAATTGCTACGAGAAATGTCTGAGATTTTACTGCTTATGTTTCTTCTAGGATTTTTATGGTTTTGAGTCTAACTTGTAAGTCTTTATTATATTTGAGTTTATTCTTGTGTATGGCGTAAGAGGGTGGTCTAGTTTCATTGTTTTGCACATATCTGTTTAATATTTCTAACACCATTTATTGAATAGATTAAAGTATTTTTGGCAAAGAATACAGTAATGGTCTTAGTAATGAAAAGGGAAAAATACAATGTTTTTGGCAATACATATATTTACATAATTTATTGTTTAAACTATATTATATTGTCACATTTTCCAAAATTTAAAGAAGTATTAATAACAGTCTCTCTTACTCCTGTTCACCATTTGCCTAGTTCCTCAACAACTTTCCTACCACCGAGACAATTGCTGTTATTACTTTTTTTTGGCATATCCTTCTAGGTCTTTTGGCATATGCAGATACATATGAATAGTCAAATATTCCCTCCAGTTTAAAAAAAAATTGATTTTGGAGAGAGAGGTAGAGGGAGAGAAATGTTGCCTCCTTATGTACCCCAACAGGGGTCAACCTGCAACCTGACTGTGTGCCCTGACTGTGAATTGAACAGGTGACCTTTCAGTGCATGGGATGATACTCAACCAACTGAACCACACTGGCCAAGACTCCAATTTTTATTTTGGATGAATATTATACATACTCTTGCATCCTAATTATTTTCACAGAACATTTTATCTCTATTATCAGTATAGAGCTGTTTTTTTTTGTTTGTTTGTTTGTTTTATCCTGTTATATAATTAGTCACCAATTGATGGACTTTCTAATCTGCTTTTAGTAACTAGAGGCCCAATGCACAAAATTCGTGCAAGAGTAGGCCTTCCTTCCCCAAGCTGCCGGCACTGGCTTCCCTCTGGCACCCGGGACCCTGCCTTCCCTCGCAGCTCTGGCTTTATCGGGAAGGTTGTCCGGTCTAATTAGCATATTACACTTTTATTTTTAGAGATGTTTTTATATATGTCATTTTGCTTATATGCAAGTACATCTGTAAGATTATTAATTCCCAGAAGTGAAACTGTAGGGTCAAAGGGATTTTACAATTAATTTTGGTAGATAATTCCAAATTATTCTCCCTAGTGTTTGTACCAAGTTATATTCCCAGTAACAATCTACACTAATAAAAGACAAACATGCAAATTGACCATACCTTCGCCATGCCTTAAGCCACGCCCACCAGTCAGTCAGAGCAACTATATGCAAATTAACCCAACCAAGATGGCGGCCGGCAGCCACAGAGCTGGAGCGAGCGGGAGGCTTGGTTGCTCCAGTGATGGAGGAAGCCAAGCTTCCCGCCCGCCCTGGCCGGCTCGGAGCTCCACTGAGGGCTACAAAGTTTCAATTATAGAAGGTAATAAATCCCAGAATAAAAAAAATAAAAAAAAGCAGAGGCTGGGAGCTTCTGTTGCCGGGGGGCTTGGCCAGCCTGAAAACGGCTCTCAGCCCCTCACCCTGACTGGCCAGGCACCCCAGTGGGGATCCCCCACCCTAAAGGGGGTGTGGCCAGCATGAAAACAGCCATCAGACCCTCACCTAGGCTGGCCAGGCACCCCAGTGGGGACCCCCACCCTGATCTGGGACACCCTTCAGGGCAAACCTGCCGGCCCCCACCCATGCACCAGGCCTCTATCCTATCTAATAATAGAGAAACATGGTAATTAGCCGTACCTCCGCTACCCTTCCCATTGGCTAATCAGGGCGATATGCAAATTAACTGCCAACCAAGATGGCGGCTGGCAGCCACGCAGCTTGAAGCGAACAGGAGGCTTGATTGCTTCAGTGACAGAGGAAGCCAACGTTCCCCGCCTGCCTTGCCGGCCTCTGAGCTTGCAGTTTAAGAAACAATGTTACAAATATAGAAGCTAAACAAAACCCCAGAAACCTGCTTTCAGCCAGCCGGGCTTCAGCCAGCAGGACCGCAACATTGTTTCAATTATAGAACAAACGCAGATCCCTGCTTTCAGCCAGCCGGGATCTCAGAGCTGGAGTGAGCAGGACCGCAACAGTGTTACAATTATAGAACCCAAACAAACCAGATACCTGATTTCAGCAGCCGAGGCCTCAGAGCTAGAGCCAAGCCTCAGAGCTAAAGCTGGCCCAGAATAAAAAAAAAAAAGAAAAAAAGGACAGGTTGGGAGCTTCAGTCACCCGCCAGCCTGAAAACGGCCCTCAGCCCCTCACCCAGAATGGCCAGGCACCCCAGTGGGGACCCCCACCCTGAAGGGGGTGTGACCAGCTGCAAACAGCCATCATCCCCTCATCCAGGCTGGCCAGGCACCCCAGTGGGGACCCCCACCCTGATCCAGGACACCCTTCAGGGCAAACCAGCCGGCCCCCACCTGTGCACCAGGCCTCTATCCTATATCGTAAAAGGGTAATATGCCTCCCAGCACCGGAATCAGCGGAGCAGCGAGGCCTCCCGGGACCGGGATCAGCGGAGCAGCAAGGTCTCCCGGCACTGGGATCAGCGTGACAGGGGGCAGCGACCAAACCCCCTGATCGCCGTGCGGCTCTTTGTGTGACGGGGCGGGGCCACAACCTCCCTATCCACACTGCTCTGTTCGTGACAGGGGAAGCCGCCCCAACCCCCTGATCAGCCCTGCTCTGTGCCTGATAGGGGGGAGCTCCCCAACCCCCTGATGTGCCCTGCTCTGTGCGTGACAGGGGGGAGCTCCTCAACCCCCTGATCGGCCCTGCTCTGTGTGTGACAGGGTACGGAGCCCCAACCCCCTGATGGGCCCTGCTCTGTGCGTGATGGGGTGGCGCCGCAACCTCCCTATCGACCCTGCCTTGAGTGTGACCGGGTGGTGCCCCAACCCCCCAATCGGCCCTACCCTGAGCGTGACTAGGGGTGGCATCTCAACCTCCCAATCCGCCCTGCTCTGTGCATGACAGGGGGCGGCGCCCCAACTCCCCAATCGGCCCTGCTCTGAGCCCGACCAGGGGTTGCACCTAGGGATTGGGCCTGCCCTCTGCCACCCGGGAGCAGGCCTAAGCCAGCAGGTCATTATCTCCCGAGGGGTCCCAGACTTCGAGAGGGCACAAGTGGGGCTGAGGGACCTCTTCTCCCCCCCCCCCCAGTGCACAAATTTTTGTGCACCTGGCCTCTAGTACTATATAATAAAAGAGTAATATGCAAATTGACCTTAGCAGCAGAAAGACTGGGAATGACTGGTCACTATGACACACACTGACCACCAGGGGGCAGATGCTCAATGCAGGAGCTGTCCCCTGGTGGTTAGTGTGCTCCCACAGGGGGAGCTCTGGTCAGCCACAAGCCAGGCTGATGGCTGCCAGCACAGCGGTGGTGGTGGGAGCCTCTCCCACCTCCTCAGCAGCACTAAGGATGTCCGACTGCATCTTAGGTCTGCTCCCAGCTGGTAAGTGGACATCCCTCTTATGTGCTGCCGGGCTGCCAGAGGGATGTCTGACTGTCAGCTTGGGCCCGTTCCCCCCAGGGAGCGGGCCTAAGCCAGCAGGTGGACATCCTCTGAGAGGTCATAGACTGCAAGAGGGCATAGGCCGAGATGAGGGACCACCGTGCCTCTAGTAAACCGTAAAAGCTGTTTTCTATACCTTTGGTAATCCAATAGGTAGAAATTGGTGTCTCTGAGAAGGTATTTTTACATTTCTCTTTTTTTATAAGTGAATCTGACCATCTTTTCATATTTTAAAGAGCAATTTGTTCTCTTTTGTGGTCTGTTCATATACTTTTTCTGTTTGTTTGGTGATCTGTTTTTTTCCTTTTAAAAAAATATATTTTTATTGATTTCACAGAGGAAGGGAGAGAGTAGAGAGAGAGATAGAAACTTCAGTGATGAGAGAGAATCATTAATTGCCTGCCTCTGGCACACCCCCCACTGGGGCTTGAGCCCACATGCCCGGGATTCGTATCGTGACCTCCCTGGTTCATAGGTCCTCACTCAACCACTGAGCCACTTCAGCCAGGTGAGGGCCTATGTATTTTTAGTTAATTATTACTCCTGGCTTGCAGCCCTTCATGTTATTGCTGAAAGGGGGTGCACTAATTCTCTTTCTACCTTAGTTGTCTGTGAACATAAAACTCTGTTCTTGCAGCTTTCTGAGTTTGTCAAAAGCAGCTTTACCCTGTCAGCTGCTTTCTCTAAAATAGGCAAATATCCCCTGGTTGGGGAAAGTAGCTGAAAGTTACATACCAATCTGGATTTCATGCTTTTCCAATTTTGAATCATTAACTCCTCACTATCACATCAGCTCTTTGATATCTTCAGGCACATTTTGAAAATTAAAAGAAATGTTTAATATCAGTTATTAGAGTATTTTTAAAAAGGATCTTTTTATTGATTTCAGAGAGGAAGGGAGAGGGAGAGAGAGATAGTAACATCAATGATGAGAGAGAACATTGATTGGCTGCCTCCTGCCCACCCCCTACTGGGGACCAAGCCCACAACCCGGGCATGTGCCCTTGACTGGAATTGAATCCAGGACTCTTCAGTCGCAGATTGATGTGCTATCCACTGAGCCAAACCAGCTAGGGCAATTATTAAGAGTATTTTAAGTGAAATATTAAAATAATGCTAATAGTAAAATATCAATTTAAAAATATTGACATTAATATACTAGTAAAAGTAAACAATTTAATGTTGACATTCAAGATTAAAGTATTAAATTTTTTATTTTAGATATTCAGCTATAACAATTCTTATTTTTACAGTGGTTCTCAGAAGTAGTGTTGATCTGAATTATTTATAAGAAGTCAGTCAGTGCCAGAATCTGAATTTTAAAATGTTTCCCTTATTTGTGTTACTGTGCATATAACTAGAGGAATGATTAAGAGTGCTTTATTAGTAGTGTTTTGACTATTCAGTCAATAATGAGAATTTATTTTGTTGTATATTTGCTTAAGTAAGCACTTAATGGTTCTCTTTAGAAGATCACTGATTTTATGTATCTTTGAAAAAGCTTCATTGAAAACTGGAAAATGATGTTATTTTTATTTATTTATTTTAGGTTGGGCTCATGTGGTTTGTGCCCTGTATATTCCAGAGGTACAATTTGCCAATGTTTCTACAATGGAACCAATTGTTTTACAGTCTGTTCCACATGATCGTTATAATAAGGTACAGTAGATATTATTCTATTGATGTTTGCATAAAATTTTTTTGTTATGAAGCTGGGAAGTGTAAAGGAATTTTTTAAAATTTTGTTTTATTATAGGCCTACCTTAGAAAATTTTAATTATAGGTCTTCATCAAATTCCAGAGAGATTTGGACAAAATATAATTACTCTGATAAACTACAATTATTAAAATACATTACTAAGGTCACAGGAATACAAACAAATAAAAATATGTTACCTTTTTATATGAATCTAGGTATTTAATATTCTAACATTTACATGACATTTTAGTCCTTATGGATTTGTCCTTTAAGAATTATTGAAATTCTGTGTTCTTTCACATAGCAAGGTTCTATGAAGTGTGAATTAATTACTATTTGGTATAATACTCATTATGATATCATACATCCTTTCTTAAAAGATAATCCTGTTGTAGAATATTTCTTGCTGCTCTCCCTCAAATTATTTTCTACCACCACTCACTCATATTTGTTGTTAGCTTTCTTAAAACCTTAGTTAATGTTTGCTTTTTTCCCTTATGTATTTTTAAAGTTAATGTTTGCTTTTTTCCGTTATGTATTTTTAAAATTTCATACATATATATTATTGTTTGATTCTCTTTTGCATATTAGATGATTTTTCCATTACCCAATGCACCTTTTCGTGTTACCATTTATTTAAAGTACCTGTTGATTTATTCCATCAGTGGGAGAAAGTATTACTGCAGCCAGTTCTAAGGTTTTAGAAATTTTTTATTAAACATTTATAATGCAGATTTAACATTTAAAAATTCTGAAAATACAGAAAGATAAATAGAAAAGTGCAAGACAAAAATCATCCTAAATCTTCTCATTCAGATCCTTCTAGATTTTTTGTGTGCATTTTTATGTATACAATATTGGATTATATTGATTATACTATATTTTTTAAATAATTATTAACCTGAACATCTTTTTGTATCAGTAAATTATATTTTTGCTATTATTTTTAGTAGATATTTAGCATGTAATACAGAGTATTGTTTTTGATAAACTGCAATTTAATTAAGGAACCCCTTATTGTTGAAGTACCTCATTTAATGTTTGGCATGCACACAACAACATAATTTTTGTTTAAAGGGTATATGCATTTTGGAAGCTTCAGAAAGTATATTGTGTGAAATTAAAATACATTAAGATAATACATCACAATCAAGTGGGGTTTATTACAGGGACTCAAGGTTACTTCAACATATAAATTGATCAATGTGACACACCACATTAACAAACATAAAGGGTAAAAATTATGTATATCAATAGATGCAGAAATAGCATTTGATAAGATACAATATCCATTTATGATTAAAACACTTAATACTATGGGTATAGAAGGGAAGTATCACAGCATAATAAAGGCCATATATGACAGACCCTCAGCTATTATCATACTCAATGCTGAAAAACAAGTTTTTTCTCTAAGATCATGTACAAGACAAGGATGCCCACTCTCACCACTGTTAATTAACACTAGTGGCCCGGTGCACGTAATTCGTGCACATTAAAAGGGAATTAATTAGAGGAAAATAAATTTTAATATTGCTATTTGCCCTTTCTCTATAATAGAAGTGTCAGAGATGAAAGAAAATTAGTAAAATGTATAGAAAATCTTCGTCCTGTCAGAGTCTGGGGCATCCTGTGGGACCCAGAGTCAAGTCCCCGCCCACCCACGTGCACCTTGAAATTGCGCGAGACCCAGACCTGGCTGGCCCCTTCCCCATTGGGCGAGATCCAGACCTGGCTGGCCCCACCCCTGTCAAGCCCTGCTGGGTGGGGGTGCGCAGCCTCAGGGCCCCCATCAAGCCCTGCCGGGTGGGGGGCGCATCCTCAGGTCCTCTGTCCCTGCGCCACACAGCCTCAGGTCCCTGCTGTTCGCTCGTTACAGCTTGTTATGGGAACCCAGCCTCCGCTGTGGGTGCAGCCATCTTGTGATGGTGTGACAGAGTGAGGGTCAATTTGCATATTACCGCTTTATTCTATAGGATAGCACTGGAAATGTTAGCCAGAGCAGTCAAGCAAGAAAAAGGAATAAAAGGCATCTGAATTGGGAATGAAGAAGTAAAATTGTCATTTATTGCAGATGACATTATTTCTTTATATAGAAAGCCCTAAAGACTCCACCAAAAAACTATAGAAACAATAAACCAATACAGGATACAATGTCAATGTACAAAATTATATTGTGTTTCTATATACTAACAATTAAATTTCAGAAAAAGAAATGAAAAAATTCCTTTTGCAATTACCACTGAAAGAATAAAATACCTAAGAATAAACTTACCAAAGGATGTGAAGGACCTATATGTTTCCGTTTCTTTGTATCTTTTCCAGTATATATTATTTTATTTTTTAAATAATTCTTTACTGTTGAAAGTATTACCTATGTCCCCTTTTCCCCCATTGACCCTCTCCAGCTTTCATGCTTCCATGTCTCTCTATTTTATTTTTTTCAATATATATATATATTTTATTTCAGAGAGGAAGGGAGAGGGAGAGAGAGATAGAAACATCAATGATGAGAGAGAATCGTTGATTGGCTGCCTCCTGCGTGCCCCATATTGGGGTTCAAACCCGCAACCCGGGCATGTGCCCTTACCGGGAATCAAACTGACTTCCTGGTTCATAGGTTGATGTTCAACCGCTGAGCAGCCACACCTTATTTAATAATAAGACATTATTATTAAAATAAATTGAAGAAGATACAAAGAAAGGGAAAGGTATTCCATTTTCATGGATGGAAGAATCAATTTAGTTAAAATGGCCATATTATCCAAAGCAGTATACAGATTTAATGCAATCCCCATCAAAAATTCCAGTGGCGTCCTAACTGGTTTGGCTCAGTGGATAAAGCGTCGGCCTGTGGACTGAAGGGTCCCAGGTTCAATTCCGGTCAAGGGCATGTACCTTGGTTGTGGGCACATCCCCAGTAGGGGGTGTGCTGGAGGCAGCTGATTGATGTTTCTCTCTCATCGATGTTTCTAACTCTCTATCCCTCTCCCTTCCTCTCTGTAAAAATCAATAAAATATATTTTAAAAAATTCCAGTGGCATTTAAAAAAAATATATATTTTTATTGATTTCAGAGAGGACGGGAAAGGGAGAGAAGGGGATAGAAACATCCACCATGAGAGAGAATCATGGGTTGGCTGCCTCCTGCACGCCCCTTACTGGGGATTGAGCCCGCAACCCGGGCATGTGCCCTGACTGGGAATTGAACCGTGAACTCCTGGTTCCTAGGTTGACTCTCAACCACTGAGCCACGCCAGCCGGGCTCCAGTGGCATTGTCAAAAGAAATAGAACATGATTTGTATGGAATCATAGAAGACCTTGTATAGTCAAAGCAATCCTGAGAAGAAAGAGCAAAGCCAGAGGTTTCACATTCCTTGACTTTAAGTTAATACTACACAGTGACCATACTCAAAATAGCATGGTTTTGGCAGAAGAATAGACACACTTACCAATGGAACAAAATGGAGAGTCCAGAAATAAATTCACATATATATGAGTAAATAATTTTTGACGAAGGAGCCACAGTCATACAATGGAGAAAAGAAAGTCTCTTCAATAAATGGAGCTGGGAAAATTGGAAGAATGGAAGAAGATATTTGCAAACAAGACCTCCAATAAGGGGTTTATATCCAAAATATATAAAGAAGTTATATAAATCAACAACAAAAACAAACAATGCAATTAAGAAATGGGCAGAGGACCTGAATAGAAACTTCTCCCAAGAAGACGTACAAATGGCCAACAGATATATGAAAAGATGTGAAATTTCACTAGCCATTATGGAAATGCAAATAAAAACTACAATGGGATACCACCTCACACCTGTTTGATTGGCTATTATCAACAAGTCAAGTATGTGTTGGAGAAGTTATGGAACACTTGTACACTGCTGATAGGAATGTAAACTGGTAGAGCCACTGTGGGAAACAGTATCAAGATTCCTCAAAAAATTAAGAATAGAGTTACCATATGACCCAACAAACCCTCTTTTTAGTATCATCCGAAAAATTTGAAAACATTTATTTGGAAAGATATATGTATCCATATCTTCATTGCAACATTATTCACTGTGGCCCAGATATGAAAACCACCAAAATGTCCTTCGCTAGATGATTGGATAAATAAGATGTGGTATATATGTATATGCAATGGAATACTACTTAGCCATAAGAAAAGATAAAATACTGTAATTTTTGACAACAGATGGATCTTGAGAATATCATGCCAAGAGAAATAAGTCTGGTAAAAAAAGACAAGAATGATATGATTTCACTATCAAATAAGACAAAAAGTCATAGATACAGACAATGATGTGGTGGCCAGCAGTGGGAGAGGGTTTTGGGGGGAGGTAGAAAAGGGTAAAGGGGGTCAAATTTGTAGTGATGGAAGGAGACTTCACCTTGGGTTGTGAACACAATGCATATACAGACGATATATTATAGAATTATACCCTTGAAACCTATATAATTTTATTAACCAATGTCACCCCAATAAATTTAGTAAAATTTAATTAAAAAATTTGAACATACAGCCCTAGCCAATTTGGCTTAGTGGATAGAGCATTGTCCTGCAGACTGAAGTGTCACGGGTTTGATTCTAGTCAAGGGTAGGTATCTCGCTTGTGGATTTGATTCCTACCCCTGGTCATGGAGCGCTTGTGGAAGCAACCAATCGATGTATCTCTCTCACATCAATGTTTCTCTCTCTGTGTCTTTCCCTCCCTCTTCCACTCTCTCTAAAAACCAATGGAAAAATATCCTCTCATGAGGATTAATAAAAAAAAAAATCCAAAACAAATAAAAATTTGAACATACAGAAAAATACATAGAAAAATGCAAGACAAAAATCATCCTAAATCTTCTCATTCAGATCTTTCTGGATTTTTTGTGTATGCATTTTTACAATATTGGATTATATTGATTATATTGATTATACTGTGTGTGTTTTTTAATTATTA